TGAAGGAAGTCTGCAATGAAAGATTGGAGGGAAAAGGGCACCAGAATCGTGGAAAGAGGCGTATATTACACTTATACCGAAAACAGAGACTGAAAAGACTCAGCTTAAGAACTACCGCCCTATATCGTTACTTAATGTGGATTACAAAATTTTTGCAGACATTTTGGCCAAGAGATTGAAAAAGTATTGATGGAAGAGATTCATAAAGACCAAGCGGGCTTTCTCCCGGGAAGACACTTGTCCGATAATTTGAGGAATTTAATTGATATTTTGGAAAAACTAGAAGTGAACATAAACACTAAAGCAGTATGATATTTGTGGACGCGGAGAAAGCTTTTGATAATATCTCTTGGAGTTTTATGAAGAAGAACTTGCATGGGATGGGGGTAGGCCAAGGCTTTGAAAATGGTATAGGTGCAATATACTCTGAACAAAAGGCTAAATTAATTGTAAATAATGTGGTCACGGAAGAATTCAGGATAGAAAAAGGGACACGACAGGGGTGCCCAATTTCCCCACTGCTTTTTATATCGGTCCTGGAGGTTCTGCTAAATATGGTTAGAAAGGATCGGTTGGTTAAGGGCATACAGGTCGGAGCTAAACAGTACAAACTGAGAGCATTTGCAGATGACCTAGTATTGACGCTACAGGAGCCAGAATCTAGCACTAAAAGAGTCTTAGAATTAATTCAAGAATTTGGTCAGGTGGCAGGCTTTAAATTGAACAAGCTAAAAACTAAAGTTTTAGAGAAAAATTTAACACCGATTGAAAGAGAGAGGTTTCAGAATGAGACAGGATTGAATGTGGTAAAGAAAGTGAAATACTTGGGGATTAATATGACAGCCAAAAATGGGAACTTATTTAAAGATAATTACGAAAAATGTTGGACGGAAGTGAAAAAAGATTTAGAAATTTGGTCAAATTTGAAACTCTCGCTGCTGGGCCGTATTGCTGTGATAAAGATGAATGTATTGCCTAGAATGTTGTTTTTGTTTCAGACATTACAAATTGTAGATAAGATGGACTGTTTCAAGAAGTGGCAGAGAGATATTTCTAGATTTGTCTGGCAGGGCAAGAAGCCCAGAATAAAATTTAAGATATTAACTGATGCCAAGGAAAGAGGTGGATTTGCCCTGCCAGACCTTAAACTTTATTATGAATCAGCAGCCTTTTGCTGGCTGAAAGAATGGCTACTTCTCGAAAACACAGACATTTTGGATCTAGAAGGTTTTAACAATGTATTTGGATGGCATGCATACTTATGGTATGATAAGGTCAAAGCACACAAAGCATTCAAAAACCATATTGTTAGGAAAGCATTGTTTAATGTTTGGATAAGATATAAAGATTTATTGGAAAATAAAACCCCAAGGTGGCTGTCACCAATGGAAGCAAAAGCTCTGAAAAGGCTCAATATGGAGGCCAAATGGCCGACATATTGGGAAATTTTGGAGCAAGAAGGAGATAAATTGAGATTGCAGAGTTTTGAAAAATTAAAAATAAAGTGAGAGATTGGCTTCATTACTATCAGATAATGGAGGCATATAATTTGGATAAGAAAATAGGCTTCCAGGTGGAAAAGTCAAAATTAGAAACAGAATTGTTAGAACCCAAAACTAAAAATTTGTCAAGAATGTATAACTTGCTGTTGAAATGGAATACTCAGGATGAAACGGTGAAATCTGCTATGATTAAATGGGCACAAGATGTTGGACATAATATTATGTTTGCTGACTGGGAACAGTTATGGACCACAGGTATGAAGTTTACGGCATGTAATGCCTTAAGAGAGAATATTATGAAAATGATATACAGGTGGTACATGACCCCAGTCAAGCTTGCAAAAATTTATCATTTGCCCGATAATAAATGTTGGAAATGTAAAGAAACTGAAGGTACATTCTTTCACCTTTGGTGGACGTGCCCAAAGATCAAGGCTTTCTGGGAAATGATATATAATGAACTGAAAAAGGTATTTAAAGATACCTTTCTGAAGAAACCAGAGGCCTTTCTTTTGGGCATTGTCGGCCAACTGGTGCCAAAGAAGGACAGAACTTTTTTTATGTACGCCACAACAGCAGCAAGAATACTCATTGCAAAGTATTGGAAGACACAAGATCTACCCACTTTGGAAGAATGGCAGATGAAGGTGATTGACTACATGGAATTGGCGGAAATGACTGGCAGAATCCGAGACCAGGGAGAAGAGTCGGTGAAAGAAGACTGGAAGAAATTTAAAGACTATTTACAGAAATATTGCAAAATTAAGGAATTTTAGAAGGATGTTGGATAGAAACTAAGAGGTTTTTAGCTGTAATGCTTTAAGAGATATGAAAAAAAAAAGGTTAACAATTGGGTAAAAGTTTAATGGTAAGGATTTGCTGAACTAACAAACTGAACTGGAATACAAAGAAGGGAGGTATGAGGAGGTTCGGGGAAATAAGTGTAAGGAAGATAGGCCATGGAAAATTAATGTGTTTTTAACTGTTTTATTTTGTATGTTTCTCTTTATTTTATTTTATATATATATATATATTTTACTTTTTTGTTGTGTCTTAAAAACTTTATACTTTTTTCTTTATTCTGTATTTTCATGTATTTTTTGAAACTTTAATAAATATTATTTTTTTAAAAAATGAATGTCAGGTAGTTGTTTATCGTTTTGACATCTGATGGGAGGGCGTTCCACAGGGCGGGCGCCACTACTGAGAAGGCCCTCTGCCTGGTTCCCTGTAGCTTTGCTTCTCGCAATGATGGAACCGCCAGAAGGCCCTCGGCGCTGGACCTCAGCGTCCGGGCAGAACGATGGGGGTGGAGACGCTCCTTCAGGTATACAGCACACTGCGAGTTTCCTTGGTATACTTATCTATGAGGTGGGCTAGGACAAAGCAATGGTCCTCCTTGAGAGGTCCAGAGGTGGCAATACAAGAATGGGCTCCCCATTTGTGGAATGCTCTCCCCAGGGAGTCTCGCCTGGCACCTTCATTATATATCTTTAGGGCCCAAGCAAAAACATTCCTCTTCTCCCAAGGCCTTTAGCTAATTAAACAATCTATGACTTTTTAAACTGCACATAGGTTCTTGTTTTTGCTCTTTATTATGTTATAGATATTGTGTTTTAATATTGCAAACCGCCCTATGATCCTCAGATGAAGAATGCTATAGAAATTTAATAAAGAAGAAAGGTAGCTTATCTCCACTGAACTGCTGTTGCAGATCAATCCTGCTGTAGCATTTAGGCCCTGCATTAAAAGGCCTATTGCTACCCCTTGCATTTCGTAGCATTTTCGCCCCACATATGTTTTCCCATAAGACTTTATGTCTGCTTGCCTGTAACACGTTAGCACAACAGTCCCTCTGATGTATTTGTGTCAGATCTAGATGAGTTGTTTTAAGATTGTTTGCAAATGCTTTGTCAAATATATAAATCATTCTCCATACCAAAAAAGGATTCTCTGAGTTTTATTGCCTAGAGGTATATGAATTAGATGGGGAAAGTCTTAAGCAATTGCTTGCAAGACTGATGTTCTATCCTTGTTTTCCCCAGTTCAGGGCAATTTCAATGTAGCAGTAACCAGAAATCAATGTTGCTGCTGCTTCAATTTAAAGCTTTTATTGGTGAAGAGAGAGGTACTGTATTACACTGAAATAATCCTTGTTATCTACTACAATCGCTAAGCAAAACTCCACTTCTCTTGTTCAGCTGAGCTAAATATCACACTGACAATCACCGTTCCCTCCTACCTGACCATTACATTTTCACTCCTGAAGTAGTTTCCAAGATTTTGTGATCTACAAGTGGAGAAGTAAATACCATGTCTGAGTGGATGTAGCAGCAGGAAACAGGTTAGCTGACTGCTTTCCAACTGCATATTCTTAATGTGCCCCAGACATTTTGTCTTCCTTTCACCTCAAGATATTATGAAAGAAGTAGTTAACCTACATTTCAGACAATAATGTCTGGGAATCAGTGTGCTTTTACATAAGTAGAATGTGTCCTTTTATTTAAAATGCATCTCTGGGTGATTTGTGGGGCATAGGAATTCGTTCATTTTTATTTATTTTTTTCAAAATACAGTCCGGCCCACCACATGGTCTGAGGGACGGTGGACCAGCCCACAGCTGAAAAGGTTGCTGAACCCTGGTCTAGGTCTTTGCTTCTGGAACTAAGTTTTGAGTTCTGGTTGACATTTGGGGACTGGGTTTGGAAACTGGAAACATCAATTTGGGGATTGGGGACTGCTCTGATGGCAGTAGTCTCAGTCTTGTGACACTCCTGGCAAAATGAAAAGAAGGACGTCAACTTTTGTTTGTGATTCCTAGTTGTGATCCAAGCCACATACTCACTTGCTACAATTGCCATTTGTGGCTTGTAGCTACTGCATTTGCTATCATACCGATGATGACGACGATGACTCTGGGCAGCTCCCAACAGAATACAGTGGTGCCTCGCAAGACGAAATTAATTCGTTCCGCAAGTTTTTTCTTCTTGCGAGTTTTTCGTCTTAGTATGCACGGTTTCCCATAGGAATGCATTGAAAATCAATTAATGCGTTCCTAGGGAAACCGACTTCAGACCAGGTCCGGGACAGTCTGTCCCCCGACCTCTTCTGAAGGCTGGGGGGACAAGGGCTTTTCTTCCACCCCCAGCATTTTAAAATCCCGGGACAGCGGAGAGCTTCTCCGCTGTCCGGGGCGATCTTAAAATGCTGGCGGGCGGCATTTAAAATTGCCCCGGGACAGCGGAGGACTTCTCCGCTGTCCGGGGCAATTTAAAGCTCCTGGGAAGGCAGGCAGGGGGACAAAGACTTTGCCCCCGCCAGCCTTCAGAAGAGGTCCTGGACCTCTTCTGAAGGCTGGCGGGGGCGAAAGTCTTTGTCCCCCCCACCTGCCTTCAAAAGCTGTCCAGCCAAGGCTTCGCGGACCTCTCCGCAAGCAGCGGCAGCACTGCCGCTGCTTGCGGAGAGTTGCCGGCATGCCGAGGCCTGCGCGCGCTGAGATCAGCGCGCCCAGGCTTCGCGGACCTCTCCGCGAGCAGCGGCAGCGCTGCCGCTGCTCGCGGAGAGTTGCCGGCATGCCGAGCCTGCGCGCGCTGAGATCAGCGCGCCCAGGCTTCGCGGACCTCTCCGCGAGCAGCGGCAGCGCTGCCGCTGCTCGCGGAGAGCTGCCGGCATGCCGAGGCCTGCGCGCGCTGAGATCAGCGCGCCCAGGCTTCGCGGACCTCTCCGCGAGCAGCGGCAGCGCTGCCGCTGCTCGCGGAGAGTTGCCGGCATGCCGAGCCTGCGCGCGCTGAGATCAGCGCGCCCAGGCTCGCGGACCTCTCCGCGAGCAGCGGCAGCGCTGCCGCTGCTCGCGGAGAGTTGCCGGCATGCCGGAGCCTGCGCGCGCTGAGATCAGCGCGCCCAGGCTTCGCGGACCTCTCCGCGAGCAGCGGCAGCGCTGCCGCTGCTCGCGGAGAGTTGCCGGCATGCCGAAGCCTGCGCGCGCTGAGATCAGCGCGCCCAGGCTTCGCGGACCTCTCCGCGAGCAGCGGCAGCGCTGCCGCTGCTCGCGGAGAGTTGCCGGCATGCCGAGCCTGCGCGCGCTGAGATCAGCGCGCCCAGGCCTCGCGGACCTCTCCGCGAGCAGCGGCAGCGCCTGCCGCTGCTCGCGGAGAGCTGCCGGCATGCCGAGCCTGGGCGCGCTGAGATCAGCGCGCCCAGGCTTCGCGGACCTCTCCGCGAGCAGCGGCAGCGCTGCCGCTGCTCGCGGAGAGTTGCCGGCATGCCGAAGCCTGCGCGCGCTGAGATCAGCGCGCCCAGGCTTCGCGGACCTCTCCGCGAGCAGCGGCAGCGCTGCCGCTGCTCGCGGAGAGTTGCCGGCATGCCGGAGCCTGGGCGCGCTGAGATCAGCGCGCCCAGGCTTCGCGGACCTCTCCGCGAGCAGCGGCAGCGCTGCCGCTGCTCGCGGAGAGCTGCCGGCATGCCGAAGCCTGCGCGCGCTGAGATCAGCGCGCCCAGGCTTCGCGGACCTCTCCGCGAGCAGCGGCAGCGCTGCCGCTGCTCGCGGAGAGTTGCCGGCATGCCGGAGCCTGCGCGCGCTGAGATCAGCGCGCCCAGGCTTCGCGGACCTCTCCGCGAGCAGCGGCAGCGCTGCCGCTGCTCGCGGAGAGCTGCCGGCATGCCGAAGCCTGCGCGAGCTGAGATCAGCGCGCCCAGGCTTCGCGGACCTCTCCGCGAGCAGCGGCAGCGCTGCCGCTGCTCGCGGAGAGCTGCCGGCATGCCGAGCCTGCGCGCGCTGAGATCAGCGCGCCCAGGCTTCGCGGACCGGAGATTTCCTATGGGCTTCGCCTTGCGAAGCAAGCCCATAGGGAAATTGCTTATGAAGCGCTCCAAAACGGAAAACCCTTTCGTCTAGCGGGTTTTTCGTCTTGCGAGGCGTTCGTCTTGCGGGGCACCACTGTATTAAAAACACGATAAAACATCAAACATTAAAAACTTCCCTAAACAGGGTTGGCTTCAGATGTCTTCTAAAAGTCAGATAGTTGGTTGTTTCCTTGACATCTGATGGGAGGGCATTCCATAGGGCGGGTGCCACCACTGAGAAGGCCCTCTGCCTGGTTTCCTCTAACCTCACTTCTCACAGTGAAGGAACTGCCAGAAGGCCCTCAGAGCTGGACCTCAGTATGGGGGTGGAGATGCTCCTTCAGGTATACTGGGCCGAGGCCGTTTAGGGCTTTCAAGGTCAGCACCAACACTTGTGCTCGGAAACATTCTAGGAGCCAATGTAGGTCTTTCTTTTTTTTTTTTTAATTTTTTAATTGGTTTTTCACATTTTATACAGACATAACACACACGTAAAAGACAAAGACAGAAAACATGTATAATTTCAAAAATCTTACTTTCTTAACTTTGGTCCTTGACTTGGCCCCCACCCCCTTCATACATCCCAATTCCCATAATTATGTCAGCAAGTTATTATTTTACCTCCTTACCCTGTTAATATTACATCTTTTGTAGAAGATTAAATTCTATCCTAAGTTGGGCTCAGATTCCCTTCCATCGATTTCCCATTTTTATTAAGCATCAATCATATTGACTAGACCCAAAAATCGTAAGTGTTTTTTAAAATTCTGTTTTCCCCCCCCTCCCATCCCCGGTTCGTCCCTTCCCAAGTACATTTCTACAATAGCAGTTCTTAGCCTGGATTTCTCACATCCGAGGCCTTCAAGTCTCTTTCAGTCCCTCTCCGCCGGTTTTGTTGGTAGTCCTTTATGTTGGTCTTCGGATCTCGAAGGAGTTCTGTCCCAGTCAAGCCAGATTTTCTTCCCACAAGAAAACTTAGAGACAACTGCTGCAAAAGTTCCACCAGTCCTTCATATTCAGAATGGAGGCCCCCATCATATTTCTTCTTTCTTGTAAGTTCTTGAATTCCAAGTACTCCAGGGGCCTCCTCCTTCATCTTTCGCATCTTTTGCAGATTTGTAATCCATATAATCCAAGGGTCTTCTTGTTTATAATCCACATGTGTAGGCTTCTGGTTGGTACTTTCCATCTGTGCTTTCTCCTTTCCTTGTTTAGTCTCCTTCAATTCTTGAGATATCTGTTCCGGTTCAGCTGCAGATTTTTTCTCATTCAGATCCTCAATACATTCAGCAGAGCTGCTTATTCCAGAAGTCAAGGTCGTAAGTTGTTTATTCATAGCCAGACTCTGCTCTTGTAAAGTTCCCACAAAGTAACACATTCTTTCTATTTCAGCTAGTAAATTTCCATCCGCAGCCATTGTAATGTCTCAGAATTCCCCTAGAGGGAATCTGGTTACTTAGTAATCTTTTCCCAACAGTCCTTTGCCTCGTTCTTTGTTTCTTTGTTTCGAACCACTTTAATTCAATTGTATCACATTTAGTCCAGGGAGATCTTAATTAACCCGCTTTTTCTCTTTAAAGTGCCCGTTTGACAGCTTTAACAGCTGTCAAACTCCTTTCCTCTTCAACAGGCTCAACGGCAGGACGCTCCCGGGCCCGGTCGGGGGGGGGCTACACACCACAAGAGAAAACCTTCTAAAATTCCACTCTTACACTCCAGCTCAAAACTTCTTTTATCAAATCGTGAAAGTTAATGTCTTTTAACTCACCCCAAAGGGGTAGACTCTCCAACTTAGTTCTCCTGCTATTGCTTTAAATCGTCTGCAGAAGGGGGTGCGGACTTCCCTTTAACACATCCCCGGTCGTATCAAATTCACAGATAGATATTTTAAAGTCCGAATTCCAATCTACTCACGGGTTGCTTCTTTTCGAGTTCCGAATTTAAGGAAAAAGTCAGTGCTCTTCAGCCATGGCACACGGCTCCGCTCCGCTGGGGTAGCGGTCTACTCCCAGCACCACGCCGCCTTCCGTACCCTCTCCGTAGCCTTTAAAAAGGCTCTTCGTGGGTCGGGGGCGCTTAAGGTGCCCACCGAGTCACCAGGTCCGCAGGCATCCGCGCCTGCGGTTTTTGAGGGTCTCCGCGTCGCCGTCGCGGCAAGACCCGTCCCCAGCGGAGCCGATTCCCTCCGGAGCTCGGAGAGAATCCGCCATTAGCTGTTCGCACCAACCCGGAAGTCGCCAATGTAGGTCTTTCGGGACTGGTATTATATGGGCATGCATTCCATTTCTGTGCAGGCGGGGGCGGTCACGGTGAGTGAGAGGGGGTTTGCAGTGCATAGGCCAGCTACGGTGGAGTTTTTTTGCATGCATTTCATGTTTTCGGTGGGCAGGAGGAGTGACTGGGGGGTGTTGGAGAGTGAAAAGGGGGGTTGCAGGGTCTGGTCCAGTGCACGGGGAGAGTTTTTGAGCGGGCAGAGGAGGCAGGAGTGGGTTGGACTTAGAGAGCGAAAGATGGGGTTTGCACTGTTAGGATCATCCTACTCTCATGTGGGACATGGGTGGCGCTGTGGGTTAAACCACAGAGCATAGGGCTTGCCAATCAGAAGGTCGGCGGTTTGAATCCCCGTGACGGGGTGAGCTCCCATTGCTCGGTCCCTGCTCCTGCCAACCTATCAGTTCAAAAGCACGTCAAAGTGCTTAAGTAGTTAAATAGGTACCACTCTGTTGGGAAGGTAAACGGCGTTTCCGTGCGCTGTTCTGGTTTGCCAGAAGCAGCTTAGTCATGCTAGCCACATGACCCAGAAACTGTATGCCGGCTCCCTCGGCCAATAAAGTGAGATGAGCGCCGCAACCCCAGAGTCGGTCACAAATGGACCTAATGGTCAGGGGTCCCTTTACCTTTACTCTTGTATAGGTCCCTGGCAGAGACACATGCCTGACTGGAAAGTTCTTTCCATCCTGGTTGAGAGCAGTGGGAGGAGAGAGAGTTTTTGCGTGGACAGAGGCAGGTGGGTCTGAGGCAGAGACGTGGAGACTTGGAGTCATTGTAATGGATTGAAGTCATTTCTGCAACAGGTAAAGTGATTTTTAGCCCTCCAATTCCCCTCTGACCAGTCCCATATTTTGCTTGACCTGTCCTTTATTTTGTCCGACCAAAGGTTGCAACAGTAGGGATGGGGGTTAATGGTCTGTTCACTGCATGATTTTATCTGAATCAGACCTGATGTACTCTTTCTCGACAATGGACATGCACACACAAGAAAACACACACACATGCATTGCCTGTCACACTGCCAACTAGACAGCTTACCTTCTGCAGCCGGCCAAAATGTGGTTTCAGTCGATTCTGTCTTTATGCCTCTGAGCTACTAATTTAGAAATGCTAGGTTTCCCCTTGTTTTTTTCCTAAGCTGTTTGCTCTTGTTTAATTCTGTTTTATTGAGTTACAGCACAGCAAACACTGCTTCAGGCCTTCCTACTTCGCTTTCAGTTCTTGCAACGTTCTAAACAGGGTCAGGTTATATATATATATATATATATATATATATATATATATATATATATATATATATATGCAGCATGTAAGAACAACAAGGTTTATAGCAGGATCTGGTTCTCTTCTTATGTCTGTTGGGCAGAAAGGATCATCCCTAAATGGGAAACACACGATGCGCATCTTGTAAATCACTCGTTTGAGTGTGCACTAAGTTTAATGAGATATACCAGGCACAGGCAAACTTGGCCCTCCAGCTATTTTGGGACTACAACCCCCATCATCCCTAGCTAACAGGACCAGTGGTTAGGGATGATGGGAGTTGTAGTCCCAAAACACCTGGAGGGCCGAGTTTGCCTATGCCTGAGATATACGATCTCTAATACACACATTTCGTGTATTGTTTTGGAAAGTGTGACTATGGTTGCTTCACCTATAAATAAGAACTGAATTGAAATTCTCCTCCATCCCTCCTGAGATCTAATAAAAACTTATCAAAACAAAACATATTTGTGAGTGGGCCGTTATTTGAATCTGCTCTGGAGATTCCCAAAAGAATGGATTGTAAATATGTGTAAGAACCAACTTTTTAATAAGTAAATTTGTGATTTAATTGTCTTCTCTCTCTCTCCCTCCCTCCCTCTCTCTCTCTGTAGAAGTCTCCTTCAATTTCAGAGCACCAAAATGAATATGAAATATCAGAATAATAAGGCAGACATTTAAGGAAACAAGAGGCTGATTGCGTAAAGATGGAAAACTGAAATGGAATATGAACAAGATCACGTTTTCCACAGCCCCTTGACCCTTGCGGTCAATAAAAACTGGTTTATATGAAAAGATAAAAAGTGAATAAGGTTGAGGATGTGTATAGCAGGGCTTCCTTAGTTGTGATTCAAGGACCCACCACCCGCTTGAGGATAAGAAAGACACGTGGACACGGTATATTAGGTTAATGGGCAAAAAAAGGCCACAACTTTATTGATTACAGCATGTGAGAGGCATTGGCTTAGGCATTGGATAAAACAACAGAGCGTGACTCCACTCCCTCGGGGAGGGGTGGGTCTATCAAGGGTTAACCACCAGTGGGAGGAGCCTGTTGATGCAAATACAACTGAAAGCTCCCCCTGATGTCACCGGGGGTTGTGCCATGGCCCTAGCCACCAGCAAGGGCATTGGACAGGATCCACGACCGCCGGATTCCTTTACCCGAATACCCATAAATTGGAGGGGTAGGTGATGGCCACACCCTGCCCTCCAACACACAACCATATTCCAATGCCTAAACAGCAGCACAATGGCTGAGAAACGCTGCCGGGCCACGTTTGAGCGGCTAAACCCCGCCCCCAAGCCTCCAGCCGATTGGCTAGCCACCTGGGGGTGTGGCACGGCAGCCAGAGCAGTAGGGCAGGGGGCGGAACACCCCT